GGTGTGTGCTCGTTGAACAGAAAAAAACGTCCTATTTCAGACTTATACCTGAGCCTAACTCCCATCATATTTGTCTTGGACCCTAACAATAAATGGGGGAGAAGTTCATATTCCAGCCCGGCCACTTTTTGTGTCACCTGTGGGTCCCCACCCTGATGAAAGAATACAGTTACCACTTCCTTAAGGAGAGCTTGTGTTGTGTGTGCAGTCGTACGCAAGGTTTCTTCCTGTCGCTTCTTGCAGATGTGAGCATTATACCTGTATCCCACACAAGATACTGGTTGCCCACTGTAACCTAATGCAGGCCTGTAGCCACGGGAGACTTGAATGGTACTGCCAGTCCTGAGGAGTGGTGAAACCTCAACAGTCTCCTCTTATCCAGTGAAGCCCATTAATGCTGTCCCCCCGTAAACTGAGCAGCATCCTCACTCTCAATAATCCGTATCGTGGTCCCGTTGTATGGAGCTGATGGGGATCTCAGCCACCCTCTGGAATTGGCGTGGAAAATCTCAGATGAAAGGCTTCCCATTTGTCTGTGCCGATCCCGTTGATGGTGTTGGACGGACCTCAACCAGCTGAGTCTTTCAATTGTTTCTCTCTATGTGCTGAATCAGGAGGCTGGGAGGTTGACCAGGACAGAGTGTGGGCTGCATGCTATTGATGGGCAAGATGAGGAAAGCCAGTGTAGTTGACAGGGGTAGATGGAGCTGGGCCAGGGGATTTCAGCTGCTGATGTCAGATATCTACTGCAGGGGGATCTTTCCCTTTGCTGTGAGCAATATCTCCTGTTCCAGCTGCTTGTTTTCCCCCTGGCTCTTGATTTTATGCTTGTTTTTAAATAAATCTTGATTTATGTTTTTGTTCTGCATAGCTTAAGCTGGTTTATGTAAATTCCATTCCTGCAAACTTACTGGAAAAGAGCAGATATTCTTAGCTCCTATTCTTTTTGTGTCTCAAGGCAAAACGAATCAATAAAGAAGTTCCAGTATATTTTCTTTCTTCAGAACGCCAGCTATCTCATTTCCTATAAATCAATTCATTTGTAAGGGTAAACGCTGCTTCTGAGCTTATTGGAGAGAAATATACATGCGCCCAAGTTAATCACTGCCTATTATAAACCTAGTGTCAGCAATTTGCAGGTAGAACAAGCTTGCTGGTCTTTCCAGGCACAAACTAATAAGTGCTTAATAGCCGGGTTTAATTAAGCAGCAGGAGCCACCGTGAAAGTGATTACTAGTAAGTACCAGCATTCCTGGGTGACGTTTGTGCTTGACTAATAGAAATTTGATCCGTTATTGTTCCTTTACGACAACTTTTTGGGTTGTTTCCTACTTGGATGTTAACTATGTTAGTAGTTCCTTGCATGTTATGAAGTCACAGTAAATAAAAACCTGGGGAATATTTCAAATGAGAGAATACCACTTCTACCCATCTAACTTGTTTGGCTGCTGGTTGATAACTGGTCATAGGATTTCATCTAGCTGTTTCTCAGAAGCCGTCAGAGAGTCCCAGCTTTAACAATGTGGCTGACTTCAAGACTCCCACAACAATTTGTGTAAAAAAAGTGCCTCTTGATCTCAGTTTTATTACATCTCCTCCTCCGTGTTTACTTACCTTTTCTGACTTGCTTTTCACTGTTGATTTGGAAGAAGTCTGGCGGGTTGGCTTGATTGTCAGTGCCATGTTGAGGGTTCGGAGTGCTTGAATCTGGTTGCCTCATAGTCTTGTGTGTTCAGGACTAAAAAGCTTAAGTTCTTTTAACATGTCAGACTAGGTAAAGCATACTTTTAAACCCAGGAATTATATCAGAATGCTGACGCATTATTAATTTTCCTGTCAATGGGTATTACTCTTGTCTTTAGTAGCTGTTAGAACACTTTTGTTAAACTTGTTTGATTAACATTACTTATTTCCTTTAATAGAATTGGTAGAATAACATCACGCCTTGCAGATTTAAGGGCTTCTAGTACCTGTAACACTCCACCTCTCCTACAGGTTTAGTATAGAACTTTCTAGTCTGTCTTCAACTTGAGTTTTAGTCGTCACTACAACACTTTCTCGTAGCCTTTGCAATAACCTTTTCCTGCAATAAGTCACAGTTATATCCCTTTTCTTCGAGTAGATCTTTTTCTTTATTGATTATTTTTGTGATTTCTTTCTCCCTAGTGTTTTGAATTGATTTATTATACCATTTAATGTTTTCTTGCCCTTGACTTGTTTGCTCTGGCCTCAACAGTCTCCTCTTGGCCTGAATCTGTTCTGCATTCCGAGCAAAATATCTTGTCTTCCTTTCCTTGCTGATTCCATTATTATCTCATTCCATTATACTCTACCCTTGCAGTTTCAAAATAGACTTCAAAGCATACCATGTTGTGATCACAGTTCCCTGAGGATGGGCTCCAGTCTGTTTTCATTAGTCTGTTTTGATTCTTAAAGACTGGATCTGTACAGACAGTCCCCCTCTGGCAGGTGGTCTGACAAATGAGGAAGAAAGCAGCTGTTAGTCATGTCTGCCATTTTATTTTTGGCCGATGAGGTTTCACAGTCTATGTGCGGAAAATGAAGATCTCCCACGCTAACCACGTCTTCCTTTACACATACTGTATGTTCCTGATTTTGTTATGTAAGCCCAAATTATGATTGAGATCTGATTGATAGTGCTTCCAGTCTAATCAAAAAAGGGTCTCTTTAGCTATTTTTCACAGCTGGTGGTTCCTTTAGTTTTTGTTTTACCAGCTATGAACTGTCAGTGTTAAACATACATCACCTTACAAGCTGTGGACATCATGAATCACCCTGTCTTCTTTAACAGGGTAATTAAATAGTAATGAAATGTTGTCATGTAATAAATGCTATTGTTTTATAAACATGTTCATTAAATGTAAAAGCAATGTAAATTTAGATTTAAAACTAAATATTGTATTAAGGCATATTTTTAGTTATAGATAATCAAGGTTTATTATCAGTGGAGGCATTGTATGTTTTTGGCTTGTTGAAAAATCTGACAATTTTAATTTCTTCGTTTAGCATAATCCCCATTTCTTCCACATTTCTCACTGAGTTTTTGATTTCACCAAGCTCTGGTTATTTGTATATAAACCTATAAAGCATCTGATCTAAACATGGGTGCCTAGAGGTAAGAGGCAGTCAAATAATGTGGACTTCTATGCATATACACCTAAATACAAATACAAGAAACGTCTTTCAGTGTTTTACTCGGGGAGACCATGGTAGTCTCTAAAATAGCATTTGTCTTGCACAGGCATCTGTCATGTTAGACATCACATTTGAAATTCACCATTTTCCCTGCTCAAGATGCAAAAGCCTTCTGGCTACATTTGTCCCTGAGCTGTTCAAAGGATTTTGCAATGAACCAGTGAAACAAATGAATCCCTATCGGTTTCCTTCAGGGATATCCTAGGCCACTGTGAAGGCCCTGTGGGTCCCTAGCCAAGATTGGTACTTCCATGTGTCTGGCCCCAGGTGTGTGACTGAGATTGCACACAATTACAGGAGCGAGGTTAGTGAGCTGATCCCCTGGGGACCCCAGCTGCAACAAGACTGACGGCATTTTTGTTAGAGTGGTACCTGAAAGTTAACCTTTGATCTCCAGGTATTATTATGGATTTGTAACACGGCTTTTCTTGATTATGAGGCACTTCAGATCAGAAATCCCAATGTTTTTATGAGCTACCAAAATTGTTATATAGTAGCTTTTCATTTAAAAAAATCTTAAAACTTCCTATCTTCCTGCTCATTATGATAAACAAGCAGATTCAGTCACATGTGTTACACCCATTTTACTAGTAGTATAGTTTAGGATTATCTTATTAAAGATATCAGAAAGCCCTACTGATAACTGTATATCATTTTAGAATTTAGTTGTGCTATAGTGCAAAGAACCACATTATTGCTTCAGTTGTTCATTGCCAAGGAAAGGCTGTTGTGTTTTCTAGCACAATTTCCATAGCCTCCCATAAAACATCTGATTGGGTTAGGAAAATGATCTTACATGTGTTGCAATTAATTTTAATGAGCACAGCAATATTGCTTTTTTCGTTACGCCCTAACTCTTGTGTTCTCTTTTATTAATTTTGAGAAATGTGGCATTTTAAAGACCTCAGAAGGCTTTTTAGTGCTAATGTTTGCTTCAGTGTTTTGTCTAGTAGGTCGAGGGCACTTCTGGAAGATGTTTGTATAGCTGAGTAGGAAGGCTTTGCTCTTTTGCGCATCTGTGTAACCAGATGCTAACCAATTACAAGTTTTTAAATCAGTTATTTATTGCTGCACTTTAAAGGACAAGTAAATACTTTTGTTTTTATGTTCACAATTTAAAGTTCTACTCTAAAGAAAACATTAGATGTAAGATTTAAACATTAGATTTAATTTTAAGATTAAGCTTTTTGCGTACAAACAATTTGAAGATTAGGCTTCTGCATTTTATTGTTTTCTATTTTCTGTGCAATATTTTTTTCATGGTAAGATTCTGAGTGAATAATTACTAGCACTTACTCATTGCACTATAATATTATAAGCATTGCTTAAATGTTTAAGTAAAACATCCGTAGCAGGATTGTGCCTATTGTGTATCAGACAAGCAGAAGTGGAGTCAGCCGTTGTTTCCTAAATTTGTATTAGGGATGTAGTTCGGCAAGCAAAACAGCACAGGAGCTTAATTTAAGAAAAATGAATTCTTTCCATCCACCCTCCATTGTCTAGTAACCAGTTCTTTCTCAACCATCAAGTCTCTCACTGCGCACGAAAGTGTTTTTCGTGTGTTGGGTGAATTGTAGGTTAACGGACAGGATTGACCAGGCATGAAGAATACAGGAGTGAGTCTGAATTCTCCTACTCATCGGTCAGCTATCATCACAGCTGTCCAGAGTTATCTCAGAGCATGGCAGCACCTGGCTTTGTGATAGCCCTGCTAAGGGTTTTTCGTCCTGACAAACCAAAGAACTTGCATGATGATTTTTTTTTTGCGTTTCTTTTTTGTTCAGGTGGAATCAAGGGACACGTTGAACAGCATTGCATTGAAGTTCGACACCACTCCCAATGAGCTTGTCCAGTTGAACAAGCTTTTCTCCAGAGCAGTTGTCCCCGGTCAGGTACAGAACATACTGTCTTGTCATATTTGTGCAGCCCAGCAAAAGGACAGATTTTTCCTGGCTATGTTCCTTAAGAAGTCTTTAAAGACACAACTCCATCTGATCTGATTGCTCCATTAACATACAGAATAAAATAAATCAAGCATTTGCTTTCAAGAGGTATTTTGTGTTATTTTGTTCACATGCTCAGTTTCACAAACAGCCTACTCATGAGCTGTGTGTCTTCCAGTAATCTTTATTAAAGACCTGGGCACTTAAGAAACAAAGAGGATCATTCTGATTCTAAAGTGCTGTACTTGTGGATGGAAATTATTTCTGTCATCAAGATTCTTTTGATCGGCCGACATTGAGCATGCAGTGAAAAACCTATTTTCAAAATGTACCCCTGGTCTTGAGCTTCCACTCGACTTCTCGAGATTGCCTGTTGGGGTGCCTCTGGAGTTTTTCATTAGCCCTTCATCAACACCAAGAGTGCAGCATATCCAAATTCAATTGTTAAATGCCTGAATGCTGTAAAAATACTTTGCATGCATTGTTCTTGGTAGGCTCTATTTGAAAACTTCTCTTTTGTCCTGAAATAATGAAAAACAATTTTGGAAAACCCCCACCCTGTCATATTTTCGCAGTACATCTTTAGTACAAACACTCCTATTTTGTTTGTTTAATGTCAGAGTAATTCTTCAATGCTTTAACCTTTTATGTGAAACATTCATTTGGGTGAATGTTAAAAACTGGAATTTAAGACAGACCCAGCTGGGGGAAATGGCCATGTCTGTGGCTTTACTTGTCCAGTACATGGGCAGCAGGCTGAATTCATTCACAGTTCTCGTCTCCAAAACATTTTGAGAGGGAGGTGGGGTCATAACAAATTAAAATAGTTCTTAAACCCCTTAATGAGAAAACAGGAGCTCAGATCTTTACTTATTGCAAATTGTGGAAAGAGCAGACCCGAATGGCCCTGTCCTTAAATCTTCTTTGAGTTTTAGTCCTTCCCCTAAAATGAAAATGAGCCACATGCTGCAATTCTCTTTCCTATTGAAATAGATTAAAATTTGCTGAAAGCTGCCTCAGCCCAGAGGGTCACATTTGCCTGGCAAATAGCTTTCACTGTAGCGTAATTATCTCTCAAGTTCAAATTTCATGTTTCTCTTTCTAAAGAAGATGGTAATACAGTATATTGGTATTAAAGAATTGGTATTTGTTCTCTGTTGCCTGAGCTTACAATACATTTAAAAGTCACTTCATAGTAAAGTCATGCTCTGTAATTTATCAGGATGTTTTCCGTACTGTCATGTCTTGTGATTTCAACCTGATGCCAGTTCTTCAACAAGAAGACTTCTGGTCCTGTTTTGCAGGTTCTGTACGTTCCAGACCCAGAGTACATTTCCAGTGTTGAGAGCTCTCCCTCCATTAGTCCCATCAGCCCTTTGTCACCAACTTCATCCGAGGCAGAGGTCGAAAAAGTCACGGTACGCAGACATGTTCGGGGAAACGCCGCCGAAGGGTTTCTGTCATCTTTGGGAAGTGGGAGTGGGGACTTGTTTCTGTGAGATGAGCCCCATTGTCCATCCAGGTTACATTCCAGAAAAGTCCAATTGATATATATAGTGAAGCAGCAGTAAAGGAATTTTGTCCATAAAAATACAGGTTAAACATTAATTTGCCTAACAAACCCCTACCTACAAACAATAGTACAAAAATGCTTTTTATACCTTATTTAAAAACCCTAACACACAAAAACATTTCTAAATCTTATACTCTGTGAAAACATTTACCTATTGCCGTTTTAGAAAGATGTATTCCCCACAAATAAAAAAAAATTGTGCCCTATAAGCTTAATTCACATCTGTATTTTAAGAAATGTAACATTTTTGTGAATGGAAAAAAAAATGTTTTTAGAAGTACATGACAGTATAAACAAGCAATTGTTGTGTTACTTCCAGCATAGTAAGATTTGTGGATTGTAACACAATGAAGCATGTCTCACAGGTATCTTAAAAAAGTAAGCAGAGTCCATTTTGGGTGCTCCTGGAACCTGGGAGAAGTACTTGAGCGTTCTCATGTTGGAATGTATTGACAAAGAGAAATTCCATCCATTGTCTGTGGGCAGCTAATGCACCACCTGTCCTGGAAACAGAGGAATGGATGTCCAGTTCCTGATTTCTCTGCCCTGGATGGGATAGCAGTCCAGCGCTAGGGGAAATGGACAATTTAGAATACTCATTCCTTCCCAGCATGTCTTTAGGAGGTTTAAGGAAGCCAGAGCTCCCAGAGAAAAAACAGCTGAAACCATAGGAAGAACACACTGACTCCTCACAGACAGATGCCCAAGGATGGGATTGAACCCAGGACCCCTGAGGCAGCAGCTGTAACTGTCACTTCACAATTTCACCCTTACAGGAATTCTTGCTTCAAAATTCAGCGCACGCCTCATCTTTCCTGTTTCCTGCTATCATTAATCTCCTTTCTATATACTGTGGATACTTGCATGGACACACAAGTGCGCACTTTGTTTAATTGAGAGTATGCTTAACAGGAATGAATCTGAAGTGTTTCTGTGAGGTTCCTGTGATCTTGTTAAAATTAAATTTCCATTAAAAAGGAGTCCCGGAATGCATGACGATTAAACTCAAAGTCATAGTCTTTTAGCAAGTATAAATGTTCAACTCATCGTGACTTGCATTAGAGTAGAGGTATTGGCAAAATATTTTTTTTCAGTCAGCCCAGCATTGTAATTTTCTTTATAATTGCCACTTACTATGTGACTATCTTTCTAGACAGTCTAAAGTGACATTGTAAATTTTAAATAAACACTGAAACTTTTTCAATCAGCTTCTGTCACAGAAACAGGATTTTTCCTTACTGTTTCTCAGTCCAGGCTCAATGTGATGAAGGGGGAGTTAAGCTTTAGAAAAGCCTTCTCGACATTTAGAGAACTTAATAGGTTTATGTAATATAGCCTAACAAGCTGGTGATTATACTCTTTTAATAAAATTATTTCACAGATGCAAAGTCTGATGTTCTGGAGAGTGATACAGTATGGGCTGTGATACGAATTAATGATTTAGTCCAAGAAGTGCTGAAGTTTTGAGTAATTATTTAATTGATTTTTAATTAGTTATTTTTTATACAACCGAAGGAAGAGGTTCAGAATGCATCTGTGCAAGCAACATATTAGACTGGTTGTCATGCTTGAACTGATGCTGTATTACCAATTAAGGAATTCTTTTACATCCTTACCATTGGCAGTGGTATTTTTTTCATATTGCAATGGCTTTCTTTATTGATGTTTTCGAATCATGTGCTTGGTGGATAGGTCAAGTTTCTAAACACATCAGGAAGGTCACTGTCTCAGTTCTGTCTCTTTAGAGTTTGTTTCCTAGGTTAAATTTAGTTTAACCTGTGAGATGTTTTTTTTAAAGTGGTGGTGATTAAACGTTTAATGTTCTTTTTGTCTAGGCTTGGATTTCATTTGCTTTCTTAGAAATGGAGTATGACAGTTTAAATAGATCTTTAAGAATTCGTAGTGGCTTTGAGACTTGTTTACTGGATTAATGAGATTATTGCCAGTAGTTACTAGAAGATAAAACATTTGGAAAAAATAGCTATGTAATTTATGTAAGAAGCCAGATTAATATGCAGTTGAATTTTTAATATGAACATAGTAACATAATATCCTACAATGAATGTATATCCTTAACACATCCTATCCTTGAACAGACATCTACTGTAGTTCTATGACGGAAATATCCCAGCACCCTGCAGAAGAAGGCTGTGTTTGCACTCATTATAATGTTTGGCAAGATACTGGATTTCTGTCATTTCAAAGGAAGAACAAGTCATTTCTGTTCCCAGTGCCTTCTGTGCCTCTTGACGTCGGCACTGAGCCTTGCTGCTTATTCACTGACCCCTTCCTTTACATTTCCTCACACGTCCTGCTGTGTTGTTCTAAATATAGGGACTATAACCAAGTGAGCGAGACAGGAGAGGCCACTTTAATGGCTGTCATAGGGCGTTTTCTTCATTTGAAGAAGCAGGAGATTAATTACAACACGCCTGTTTATTGCATTTATGTGAGGAGATTATTCTTTTTTTTTATTTTGTTGCTTTTCTGTAGGAAAATGTAGGACCTAAATTACTCAGCAATTAGTACCAAGGATTTAAATGCCTAGGGGTGAAATTCATGATTGGTTCAGCGGTTTCATTTTAAATTGAAAAAGATGTTATGCTCAAGAAAGCTAATAAATTATGACTGCAATGCATAATGTTTCCACTGTGTGGTGCTACAGATTGTTACAAGTTTAAGGGTACTGGTGGTTTTAGAGGGTTATGTTAAAAGAAGTTATTATAGCGTTTTAAGCTGATAAACATCAAATATTAAAAATGAACAAGTAATAGGTTTATTCCATGCTGAAAAAAAGAAGAAAGAGAACACAACGTTTCGGCGGTGGAGCCTTCTTCAGGTGTTGACACCTAAAAATACTAAAAATAGTAAACTTTCAACAGAAGCCTAGAAATCCTACAGTAATTAGGCATTCAATTAACTTTCCTATATTGTTGTAGGTTTATTCATTGTATTTCAGATCATATTTACCCAGTGCCATTTCAAATTTTTGAAACAGCTATGACAGGTAAAATGATCTGTTTTTCACAAAGCTTTTTCTTTTTGAAGTGAAACATGGGAAATTAATCTCTGCGCTTATGTTTTCTGATAATGTACCTGCACTTTTTTTTTCCAAATTTAGAAAAAACCTACATTTTGCACTTGTTTTTCAATGTGAAAGAGCAATTAACTGACCACACATAAGCTGCCCAAGACAAACAGGAGAGAGGAAGCAGCGAGGTACTCTTAATTTGACACATTCATCGACTTTTGTAGTTTCCTTTCATATAATTGCGTTTCACACCTCCCCTGCAGTTTGGTCCATAGTTCCACAATTCTTCCTCCTCTTACTTGTACTTATCTGGGCAAAGTCGCTTCATAAACTGCTGACAAGGTTTCCATTCATCCGTTCATGTATATCTAATGGTGTAAAAATAAAAAAATCATCCTCCCAAGAAAATACAAAAATGTGTATCTACTGGTCTGGGGTTTTGCATTGCTGGTAGCGTTGGACACAAAACAAAACTCAGAGCACATAACTGCCCCCACCCTGGACAGGATGGCAGTCCATTCCAGGCAGGGGGAGGGACTCTTTGGTATGTGATTTCAAAACCGATCACAGTTATCACAGAGGAGGCTGTTGCAGATGCCTGACTTCACGTAGACAGATACCTGCACGCTCAACACTAGTACCTGGCGTGGCCTCCAAAAACTGACACTTTGCTTATAATAATAATAATTATAATAATTGATTACACTTATATAGCGCTTTTCTGGACACTCCACTCAAAGCGCTTTACAGGTAATGGGGGACTCCCCTCCACCACCACCAATGTGCAGCATCCACCTGGATGATGCGACGGCAGCCATAGTGCGCCAGAACGCTCACCACACATCAGCTATCAGTGGGGAGGAGAGCAGAGTAATGAAGCCGATTCACAGAGGGGGATTGTTAGGAGGCCATGATTGATAAAGGCCAATGGGAAATTTGGCCAGGACGCCGGGGTACACCCCTACTCTTTTCAAGAAACACCCTGGGATTTTTAATGACCACAGAGAGTCAGGACCTCGGTTTTACATCTCATCCGAAGAACGGCGCCTGTTTACAGTATAGTGTCCCTGTCACTACATTGGGGGCATTAGGACCCACATGAGCTGCAGGGTGAGCGCCCCCTGCTGGCCCCACTAACACCAAGTCCAGTTATCCAGTTGGTTATGGATGGGGTGCAGAGCATGGGGTGTTCTCCAAATAGAGAATAGTAATTATTTGGAAGAACACCAATACATAACGACTGAAAAGAGGGAGCTCAAGCCTGAAACAACAGAAAAATAATTTTCTAGTGAATAATGATGAGGAGCCTACCAAAGGTGCACTGTTCAGAAGGGTGAAAGCCCTCAGCCTCTGTAAATCTCAGGCGCACAAAGTATGCACAATCTTATATTCTCTCTTTGGTATACTGTGAGAGAATGCCATTGGTATACTGTGAGAGAATGCATTACACTGTGACTGAATGGCCTGCACGCAGTCCTCATCCATTCTGTCAGTGCTTAATGGTTTCAGCTTGATCCAGTTATCTTTAATGGCATTGCAGTTATTCGAGAATGCCACTGATGGACTTGTGTTGTAGCCTGGCTCTTAATTCCAATGAATGTGGCCTTTTGATAAGTTTAGATATTAAATAAGTCTCAGCTGTTCTTTTGCCTCTTCCCCACCATTTGGAAGACTAACCGGGTTCACTTGTAATTGATTCCAGTCTTTCAGGAGCATATGTGAGCAACTGACCAGCTTGAGATTTGAGTGGATTTACTGTATATTGTGTCTACTTAATCTCCTTGTTTTCTGTGACAGATTCAACATTAATAAGGCCTGATAGGTAAAACAATTAAACCACAAAAAAGCTTCTTATTTAAAGGCATGTTTTCATTATTATTCTTCCTACCTTACATAGGTCAAAACAGTTGTGTAATGTTTGTGCTTTGAATTGCTTTGAAAGAAAGATGTTTAAAGAATAAAGCCACCCTTAAAACATAGTACTGCAATGAGTATTGTGTGAAATAATGTCTAAAGAAAGATTGGAAAAAAAACTAAAGGAACCTCAAGATGCCTTTGAGATCAAAATGTCTTTCAGATAAGATCACTTTATTGGCCATATACAATTTCTTCAATAGGAATTTGTCTTTTCACATACCCCAGCTTGCTCCCCATGAGACACACAGGCACGGAGAGAAGCTTGGGGTCAGAACAGGGGTCAGCCATTTATGCAGCACCCCTGGAGCAAAGGAGTAGGATTCCTCTGCCGGCCGCGGGATTTGAACCAGCAACCTCCCCAGCCACAGGCACAGATCCTTAGCCACAGTGCCACCACTCCGCCCCACTTTCCAGTTATTAGTTATCCAGATATCTGGATAACTCAAGACTACAGACAAATAATTAGCTGGCCTTTGCGAAAGCAAAAATGAAAACCAACCTTGCTTAAAGGGCTTTGTTATTTCATTAGAGATAACTGACTGTTTTACTTTTTAGACGGTAGACTTTGATTCCCCCAGTTACATTATGATGATCATATCCAATATAATTATGGAAGATGCTGTCTTTGTTTTTCCTTCCCAGTCTTGGTGATTTAATATTGCAGTGCAAATCCAAAATGTGATGTTTGATTTAATTTGTGAGCTTGAGTCAGAGGAGCGTGGAAGTCCTGATGGAATCACTGTTAAAGTCTGAAGGAAGCCAATATTCCTTCAGACTTTAACTAATATTCCAATGTTCTTTTTCATGTTTCTTATCACCATTCCCATATTTCAATGTTTTTATTTATTATTATTACTAACAGTTCATATACATTTAATGAAAGATCCCTGTGTCTTTCTTGATGTCTTTCTTGTGTTTTTTGTCTTGAGGGTCTTGTTAAATTCTTGCTCTTTTACAATATGTATTTACATACTACATGTCAGAATGAGGATGCAGGACCACACATATCTGCAATATGCTGCCTTTAATGTTGGACAAGAAACCTATATCAGTGTACATTAGGGGCAGTTCTTATAGATGCCGATTATTTAATGCATGGCTGATGCAGTCACTGATATTTTTACAGCACAAAAGATCTTATGTACTTGTTATCTCCCACACAGTCAAATGGGTTTTATCTGTATATGTGAAGTTGCAGTGCGTACTGTATGTGTTAAAATGCTGTGTCATGTTCAAAAGAAAGTGCTTCTCCAGAGACACGGCAGTGGCTCAGAATATTTTATTAATGGACAAAGAGAAATTCTACAGCAGAGCAGCTTTCACACTTTGTGAAGCATGAGTGGCTCAGCCAAAGTTAGAGATGCTTAAAACGTAAAGTTATATTTAGATAGTAAGGCGATACAATTTAGGTTTATAGGAGTGTATAGGGGTATATCTGTAGTATTCCTTATACTGGGATTATCTCTTAAAACTGAAGTTGAAAAGAATTCAGATTCGTACCACTATAACTTGCTGATACAACTATACGAACTTGACAATGATGGTGGTGTTTCTTCTTAGGCAGGTTGTTAATAAATCATAAGTGTTCAGTACAGAAGCAAGATGTTTTGTCCTACAGCTCTAACATTTTGCTTCAGATGGAGCCTAACCTTCAATGTTCTATCTATCCTGTGCACCAGACTGTTGGCATTTTAACCACTGTAATGCAAAAGAGGTCTTTTAAAACTCCAAAGTACAGACTCTTGTACATTTGTTTTGCATAGGTTATCATGTATTTTGAATAGTGACAAAGATCATGGGGTTTATCTCATGACAACGTTTATGTCTTATACCATAATATTTATTATAATGGTGTGTAGAAATATACAAAACACCACAATATAGTCAGCAACTTTGAACACAAATATTGAAAACAATATTTTGGGTATGTAAAGTTGTCATTTATGATTCAAAAACCTTTCTAAAGCACTGCTATAGGCAGAAATGGGAAAAGTATATCTGACCTAGCAAGCCGTTGCATTTTAGCTGCAAAGTATTGACTACTGCATGTTGAATTTTGATACTGTAGTGATATGAATTCCAGCAACTGTTGTTCCAAGCTTTTCTTTGGGTGGGAAAATTAAAACGACCCTCTCAATCAGCTTTGGAGCGTTCTGTCTAGTCTATCAAGACACGCTGTAAGTTGGCTCTGTTTTATTTGTCCTTCAGCAGGCGATATTAGTCCTTTTCAGCTGGTTTTATGGCTGTCCTCCACCTTCTTTAGGAACTCTAGGATTCTGAAGTTTGTTGTCAGTACACAGCTTCTTTTGACATCTCCTTTATGCGGTTATGCTACAGGTCTTCAGACTTCACCAGGTCATTAAATTGTTTCATAATTGTAATTAACTGCAAGTATGTTTTAACCTTTTCACCTTTACTGTATGTGCTTAATATTAAAGTGCTCTAAAAGGAAAATAGGCAATTCTCAAGTGTTTAAAATATCGTTAAACTCAGATTTTGCATTGTCCTCCTGCTTCTTCATGAGTTGTGCTTTCGAGCTGATAAGGTCGGACAAGCAATGGTGTGTTGTGATTAGTCTATTGGTGTGTTGTGATTGATCTATTTTTCCTTTTCTGGGTAACTGGGATCAATTGATTAACAGTAGTTTCTCTGAGATATTAATATAATTAAATCTGATAAAGGCTGTCCAGGAAAAGTTATGAAACCTGTTATTTTCCATCCACTACATGGTGGAATACAGCAAGTTCATAGTTCAGCAGGGTTTCTAAAAAAAACTGTAGGTTCACAATTTTTTTCTGTTGTGGTTTAAAGTTAAATACCCTCCGTGTGGCACTTTGTAGATTGCATGCTAGCTTTTAGACCCATTCTTATATCTGCTGGGTAATTTATTCCAAGCTTTATTGTCCAACAGAAAGTACAGCCTGCATGGTGATTCACGGCAGCAGTGGTAATAATTGTCAGGCCTTTCTACCGCATTGACATGTAAATGAATAAGTGGGGACAAATACTTATCATATTGGTTCTTCCACTAGTCTTTTCCTTTCATGCAGTTAAGGCAGTCTTTCAGTATATTTAATAGCACATGCAGGAGGCCTCAGGAAAACTCCATTTCAGTTTTTTTTCTCATTCTGTGACAGTATTTTGCCACATTATCACTTGTTTTGGCGTTGTTGACCTGACAGTGTGAGGACTGAATCCTGTGCAATGCTGGACTATACTGTAGTGATAGGGAATGCATAGTGTCATTCTTTCTCCTTTGGAACAACACGCAGTTTATAAAAAAAACTATCTAGGTACAAATAAGGACTGTAGCAGAGCTCTTTCTCGTCAGACACATTATACTCTCCCTGCTGCTGTCATCCGTGCAAAATCGAGACTTTTTTGTATTTTGAAATTAACAGAACTGTACTCCTCAAATAGGCTGGCATAGTGTAGCGGTAATGAGACATGTAGCAGACAGGTTGTGGATTCAAGTCCCTGCTGTAGACTCTGCTCTTGTACTCTTTAATTAGGCACTTTACCCCAATTGCTTCAGTCCACTGAGCTGTATAAGAGGGGGACCAGCGTTAATGAGGGCATAATCCCTGTGACAGACCAGCGTCCCATCTGGGGGTGACTGGGTTGGGGGGGGGTAGGTATTCTCTTGTCCACTTAACACAGGAATGAGGATGAGCCATGGCCTATTGAGCCACTGTAGTTCTGATATGGGCTTTATGTTAACCGTTACTCCTCAAATGCAGATCCATAGACACAAGAACTCATCAAACACGGCAGATATCCATGTCCTGCTTGTTGAGGGTCGGCCTTTATGTCCTCTGTACAGGATTCGGATGGAGTCCCTAGGAAGGAGGCCACCTCGTCCCCAGCTCACGCCTGCACCCGGCCAGCCAGAGTGGTATCGTCCACCTCGGAGGAGGAAGAAGCGCTGACCGAGAAGTTTCTTAAAATCAACTGCAAATACATCACGGATGGCAAGGTGCACCTCTTGTCTCAGCCCACTGGAGCACTGTAGTGTAGCAGTAAGAACGTGAGAGGGGGCTACAGCATGCACTCAGCATGCTTCCACACCACATCACTGACAGTGCCTCCTCTTGGACATCCTAGAAGGGAGAAAGGCATAGAAAAGAGCTACTTATTCAGATTCATGTGAATCGGAATCCTGTGTTACTTACGTGGCAAGAGGCGTAATAATTGGTAACTAATGATTATAGGGAAACAGTAGCAATTGTACTGTAGGTGTTCCTCTCGGTGTGTGTGTGTGTTTGGGGGTCCTTAGCGTCCTAAACTCCTTAAATGGCACGTGAATACAGTGGCAGAGCTATCCATATGCGAGAGATGGCAAAAACTGAGGTTCGTTCTGTAATTATACTTTGAAATCTGGCCTGATTTACTTTTAAGTGAGGCACAACAGCCCTTTGTTTGATAGATAGCTAAAGTAAGAATCCACTGGGGTTTAATAACTAGACAGAAGCTCCAGTAATAGTATGTATTATGAGAGTCTTTGAATCTTACCATGAGAGTTACCACATCTTAAAGCCTGATTACAGGTTTTTTACAGTTATTCCGTTTCTTGCTCCATTTGTTTTCGTGCCCATTATTGTTTTTGCTGCTTGAAGAGCTCCCTGCTGACTCCTACAGTCAAAAACAGTTTCTTGAATGCATGAGTGATACAGAATGTGAGGTAGTGAGGTAGAAAACTATGTTCAGTCTCCCAGAATGCTTTGCACAGTGCTTCACAAATGGGCATATGCAATACGCTGCAGTGCCGCACGACCTCATGGTCAACTTTGCAAGCCCCTTTTCAGAGGTTGCACCCATGTGCTGCTGCAGCTGTGATGCTTTAACTGATCGTGGTGTCTTCTTAGGGGGCAGTGAGCGGTGTGCTTTTGGTGACGCCCAACAACATCATGTTCGACCCGCACAAGACAGACCCCCTGGTCCAGGAACACGGCTGTGAGGAGTACGGCATCATGTGTCCCCTGGAAGAGGTCATGTCTGCCGCCATGCACAAGGAAATCGTGGACAGCAAAATCAAGGAGTCGTTACCTCCGTAAGAGCTGCTGCTTATTGTACTGCCTCCCACTTCAGAGTACAGAATTCACCCCAACCAAGAATGCAAAAGATGCTTATCGTTAGTTAATATGTACGAGTCCCCCAGTTATAGGGTTTAAGAAAAACTTGGTAACATAGCTTGGTTATTTTCTCTGGCTGGGGCAAAAGAATGCACTCATTTAACAAAATATGGAAACTGTATTTACAGCCTTGCTGCACTTCATGAACCTTCGACACATTAGTTCCAAACAACAGATTCCTGAGCATTTTCTTCACTATGGAAGATTGTTTTAATGCAGCAGTTATATTAGGTACTATAGGCCTGATATAGAGTAGAACATCAAATTATTTTTACGAGGTTCAACGTATCCCATCCTAATCCATTTCTCCACATTTGCTAACTTATAATGCATTACCAGAGGTAATAGTGTGGTGGATTTATCCATTATAGTATTTTCTTTTTATAACCCTTGTGCATTGGAATCTTGAATTTTCTATGGCCATCCAGTTTGGAATCGCTAATTGTTTTAGAACTCAACTCTGGCAACAACTCCCGTGTCATCTAGGGAGCAGGTGAGGCCTGTAGCAATGCACATGCCCCACAGTACCAGACAGGGGCGTTAGCACCAGTCAGAGGAGCAGGACCTCTCTCCCTGGCATCAGCGCAACCCTGCAGCACCTGGCGAATCACAGGAGTCTTCGTACTGTCAGAAAGCTAGCTGATCAGCTGGGGCTAACTGGTCCCATTCCTAAGCCTAGTGTGCATTGCTGACTCACAGTCACCATCGGCTAGTGGTATTATTATTTTTAAACAAATGTCGGAAGTAACAATGTGAAAGGCATGAGTGGTATGAGTCACATGGCGCATTTGAGCCAAACGCCGTCACTTACAAGGCATGTCCTCCGTTAACTGGAACAAGCGGTAGAGATGTGGCACCTGGGTCTCAGGTGATGCTTCCCTATTCTATAAGGCAAGTGACAGTTTAATGATGTCATTTGGTAGCGTTTGACACTGATATATATTATTTGCTGTGTGGGAGAAAGGATTGTTGTATTGAAAGATTAAAAGGATTGTGGTAATGTCAATGCTATTGTAAGAACAGTCAGAACACATCTCAAAAAACTGTCAGCATGAAGATTAATACCAATAGCAAATGTCTGTGTGTGTGTACTCTACTAGAAGGGACCTAGAGCAATGACTGTTTATAAGGGATACTGCAACACTAGAAGGAGTGCAGAGGAGTGTAGCCAGAGTTGTATTTGATCTTCTGAGTGATTTTTAATGGATAAAGTGAAATAAAGCTTTTCAACTTTGAAGGAAATACAGGGGAGATCTGATCGATGGTTTTAAAATTGATAAAAAGAAAATGGCAGAGTCAAAACAGACCTCTACTTCAAGTTCCTCACAAAGATCAAAGAGCAGGCTGTAACTGCCGATTAAGTGCAGCTGAATTCAGGATTTAAAACAATCAGGTGGTACTTCCTAAACCAAGGGTTATCAGGTTTGTAGAAAACACTTGCCCAGTGGTGTTTTTATATCGAGTCTCAGGAGGCTTTGAAGATAAGTCTTGGTGATGTTCTTGGTTTGTGAAGTTGCTTGTATATTGTGCAGGTAAGCCAGATAGTATCCTTTTACAGTGTATGTAACCTTACATTTAGTCAGTGTGCTTGTTACTTCACAGAGATCTAGAACATCTGGCATCTGGGAGAGATCCCTGTCACTTAAAAAGAATACCACGCAGCAATACAGACGAGATGGAGCTGAGACTTCGGGATACAGGGAATGATAGCACCAGCACAGCTCCACGGAGCACAGAGGAGTCCTTGTCGGAAGACGTGTTCACGGAATCTGAGCTCTCCCCAATCCGGGAAGAGCTGGTGTCTTCTGACGAACTGCGGCAAGACAAGTCATCGGGAGCTTCTTCAGAGTCTGTTCAAACCATAAACCAGACTGGGGCAGACTGCTGCCTTGTCTCCGAGACTGGAGAGCCTCCCAAACCGAGTGCTGAAGACACCCCCACCCAGGACAGAGGTCTTGTCAGGCACAGGGCAGAGGGGGAGAAATCGGAACCGGCAGGAAATCCGGAGGAAAATCCGCCCCGGAGCCAAACCCCCAAGCAGTCTCCGATGGGGTCCAAACAGCACAGCACAGACAAAGAACCGAGCACACCAGCCTGCAAAGACCAGCATTCCAGCTGTAAGGGCGACGCGGCCAAGTCGCGCGCCGGCTCGGACTCGCAGGGCCCCGGAGCTGCGGCCGGAGACCCCTCCGGCAGAGAGGGCCCAGAGAAGAGCAGCCTCAGCAGGGAGCAGAGCTGCGACTCGGAGACCGAGGTGCAGGAGTTACGAAAGCTGTGGAAGACTCACACTATGCAACAAGCCAAGGAGCAGAGGCAGCATGTCCAGCAGCCACACAAAGAAGTGAAACCGAAGCCAGGGAAAGTCATAGAAGGACTATTGCCACTGGAAGGTATGTTAAGGTTTGTGTGGTGGCGCCTTTTAATGAACAGCTACTTTAAATGGTTGTCTTCCAAATATATGGTTTTGCTTTGTGTTCTTCATAGGTAAATGAGCCCAGTTTTTATATGCAGGTGACTTTTTTTTTTCACAGTACTTACAGTTCTGTCCAACATTCATTATCTTCATCGTGCAACTCCAGGGCAGTAAGCCAAAGCTCCCTTCTAATTCACATAAGGTTAAAAGAATACTGTTGATTGAAACCTGGATTAAGAAGGAATTTGATATTTATGTAGAAACACGGAGCCGTATATAAAATGTTGCCAGAATGATCATTTGTGGATCTCGGGGCTAATAATAATTAAAAAAGTCATGGTGTGTGAGTAGTTTATCATACCAATAAAAAAAATGACTTGGTAACACTGGTTACACTTCTTAACAAATATATTTAATAACTTTGCAGAACAATGACAATTATAATAAAATAAGTACTTCACAACATTCACAGTAATTGTAGAAACAACACAATAGAAAATACAGCTGAAAAGCACAGCCACCCAAGGCAACCATGTACTGTGAATGATTACAAGGCTTCATAAGCTCTGCAGACACCACGGCCTTCCCTTAGAGACTAGGGAAATAAATCTAAGGATTGGAAACCAGGAGTTCAGAAACCTCCCCGATCAAAACCTAAATGCCAAGCAGAATAGCTGTGAAAAGTAATTCTCAACGGCCTTAATTATCACAAGAGCCAGCTGAGCTCCACCTTTTTTGTATCTTGCCCTGTCCACCTCTCACTGTGTACTGGAAAGGCTTTTCCCCAATTAAATTACCCTCATTGCTTTCTGTAATCAAAGGACTCCTGCCACGCACTCACTCCTGTCTCCTGCTTTAGCGCTTGTTCAGCTCCTTACCTGCTTAATCCAGGAAACCACCTGATACCAAAAAATAAAGCCCCTGTCCTGGGTTTGATAACAGTTTGCTTGTGTACACAGAAGGCATTGCAATAGCAGTCAGTCAAAATAAGATATGAACCCTGGATACTGAATCCATTACTGAAGAGGAGCACTGAACTCAGTCAACAGGTTTAGAGTGTACCTTCCAGATACCCCTTGCACTAAAGAGCTAGTTACTGTAACACACAGGTCACAAACGTCATGTCTGTCCTCAGATACTATAGTAACTTTGAAAAGTATAATGAGAAAATCCTGTTCTTCGTTAGTTTTTGGGATCGGTACAACTCTCCTCCTTCTAGTACCTCATTCTTCAATATCTTACAGTATTCAACCACTTAACCATTATTAGCACGTATATTTAGAATGTGCTGTGCAAGTAGCATATTTGATGAAAGCTCAGCTTATTACTCTCTCTTAAGTGCAGTGCTTCTCTATTTTATAGTAAAATTTGTCTCATCATTTGCAAGGAAAATGTACCGTTGAATTTGTCTGAAATGCAAAACGTTTTCCTACTGCTCATTTCTACTCTTCCTAATATCTCGGCAACAACTGCATTGCCATTGAAGCACCTCGAGGATCTCGACTAGCTGAATTGTATATGTAACAGAACAGTATTGCTCATTCTCATTCATTGTAAGAGCTCACGCAAACTGGCACGTACAAGCATGGACAGTGTTAAGACAGCCATTAACTTAGTCTTTGTGTCTTTGGGAAGTTGGATGAAGTCGATACACCTGGTGAAAACTCCTACAGAGTTGTCTGGATAGAGAGAATATGCAATATGCAAACTCTGGGAGGCAAGCATCCCAGGCTTAATCAAACCTGCACACTCTGTCACTCTGCACAGTGTTCTTGTTCTGAAAAATTAATCTTTAAGAGCTGGTGAGCCTCTGCAATGAATTGAGCTGGTGTTTCATGGGTAAGTGACACTGGGAAAACTCAGCACATGTGCAGTTTTAGATGCACGCATTATTTTTCTTCCTTTGCTTTGTTCACATAATCATTATTGCTCAGCAGTGCAAGGAACGTATCCATGTCATACTGTACACTGAAATGTATTCTCTAGAAGGTTTTTGGGAAGCATGCCTTTTTAATGATTAAAGCCTAGATCTGAAATGTATTTGAGGTTATTACTGTCGGTGTAAATAATTAGGATTGTTAATTGGAAAACCACTAGAGATGAAATTATTTCAAATTGAATTTCCTCACAGTGGAGTTTTAAAAAACCTGTAGTCTGATCTTGTCCGATATCAGGAGCTAAGCAATGGTGAGCCAGGTCAATGCTGGGATGGGGGGGACTTCTGAAGAAAACACAGGTTGCTGCTGTATGTGGTACTGGTTGACCAGTAGGTGGCGCTCTTTCGTCTGGGCCGGAATTTTCAAACCAATGCCCCAGTATTATTAATGGGGACACTCTGCTATAGGAGGTGCTCTTTTTCTGACATCAGGACCTAACTTTACTTCTATATTTAAAGATCCCACACTAGCCCTGGCAACCTGGCTACAGTTTGCTCTGCATGATTTGACCTAGAGTTTCCCCTTAATTCAGTTTGTGCAGTAATTTATCATTTCCATAACATTTCCATGATCTTTCATAATTTCAGGCAGAAAATATTTGCATTACATTGTCTTGTACAGTTATGTTGGTATTTCAAGGGGTTAACAGTGATTTCACGTAAGTATCAATGACTGGAACGGCAAAGACATTATGGCACAGCCAGTCTGTTTGTAGATTAAATTAAATGTAATTAAATTAAAGTGCTGTTACACGTTGACATCACTTAATCTAGCCTGCTTTCTGATGTCTAAGTTACAAAGACCTGGTCCTGAAGAAAAGTTATGTCTTCCATTTTTTTTCAACCTTATTTTTTATCACGACAGTTTGAAGGTGCTTATTGAGATGGTAGAGTTGAGCCCAATTTGACTGGTCTCCTTGCTCATCCTGACCTGAAACCCCTGTGCGTCCTGAATACTGCAGGTTCTGTCGTCTGCAAGGAGAAGAGGAGGCACAGATCTCACAAGTTTCTGTGTCTGCGGGTTGGGAAGCCCATGAGGAAAACCTTTGTGTCCCACGCGAGCGCGTCCATGCAGCAGTATGCACAGAGGGACAGGAAGCACGAATACTGGTTTGCAGTGCCGCAGGAAAGGTGAGACACGATTACTGTATGTAATACTGGCAGACGCTGTTAAAGAATCACCTGCCACAGCAGGAGAATTCTTCTCAGTAGTTACTGTGTGTCTTCTTGCCTTTCCCAAGATAAGGCCCTTATAGCCTGCTCACAGCAATAGAATTTGCATGATGATCAAGCACAGGTTCGCATTCTATATTTGGGAGTAGTTGTAAACAGCGTCTTGGAGTGCTTATTACTTTGAAATATAGTGGTGTGTTTTTACTGACTCACTTTAGAAGAAAAAATAAATTAATTTTAACTATTTCTTGTCTGTTTTGTGATTTGCCTTTATACATTAATCATTTTTTTCACATCGTTTTTTTTTTAAAATCTTTGTATAACATAATCTCTTCAAGTACAGCGCCTTGTGAAGGATGTTTTTGTTTGAAATTTGCTATGCAAATTGTTTGGTACTTTATTACCATCTTCTTCTATATGGTACTTTCTGATATCCCTGAATAATGACTTTAAAATATAATTGTTGTAATTTTATCATGTATGATTTGTTGAATATGCTGTGTTATACTAGAATGAATTCTAAAGTTTCTTAAGTGCCTTTGTGACCTGAAATTTAATTATGTGATAAGATTAATTCTTACAGACTTCCATATATTTTTGCTTGCATCACGATTGCAACACTGCAGCTTACTCTACCAGAGCAAGTGCAGCTGTGTTCAGACCAGTGTGTGTCCTAGCTTCTGATACATTAAGCAGAGTGAGAGTACCTGACCCATCGCTGGATGGGACCAGGGACCCTGATTCATCTCAGGGCTGTTCTACTCCCAGCAGTGCTGATAGTGCAGTCAGAGCATACCGAGACATACAGCCCTCGTGTTTACTAGGGGATTGATTCCACAACCCTTAAAGCACTGCTCCCACTTACAGTATACGTGTGCTAGATTAATCAGTGAATTTATAACAAATAATTGCATATGACATTGCATGTGACAGCCATGAGTAGGTAGGGTAACCTTGAAAATTCATATTTCATAGTTTTCCTTACAAACCTTTGGCAAATTTGTACAAATGTACGAGGCTAAATGTACTATGTAACTAAGCATAGGCTAATGTTTTTACTCATGTAAAATACACTACTTTATTTCAGTACAGCCTTAAGTGAATCAGTGTCATTTTGTAATTCTCATGGTAACTGTAGGTAAAACAGCCATGCTTTAGGGGGAAAAGGCTTAAGGATAAGATGGGATACGATCACTTTATTGGCCATATACAATTTCTTGAATTAGGAATTTGTCTTTTCACATACCCCAGCTTGCTCTCCATGAAACACATAGACTCACAGACAGGGAGAGAAGCTTGGGGTCAGAGCGCAGGGTCACCCATTTATACAGCGGTCCTGGAGCAGTTGGGCTTAAGGGCCTTGCTCAGGGGCCCAATGGGGTAGGATTCCTCTGCCGGTCATGGGATACGAACTGGCAACCTTCCAGCCACAGAGCCACTGCACCGCCCAGGGCAGTCGACATGGGTTTCTGTGTAAAGCAGCATGCCAGACACAATGTCCCCTTTCTGCTGCTATTACTGATTGTATGAAATGACTGAATTTCACAGTCTAAAGTTTCCCTGCAATTTACTGTATGTCAACATTTGTGTGTAACAGCCTGTCATTTCAAAGAGGATCTGTTATAGGGAAACAAAGCTGTATTATAACCACAATTTTGCAGCAAATTAGTCTAAATTGCTCCAACAACTTAATCAAATTAGTCGTCTCATAAAGGGTCTGTTGTTTACCCCAAATCTTCAACTAAATAAGCCATGACATTATTTTACTGTTCTGTACCACAAGCACTTTGATATTTGATTACGGTAGCTAACTGGAAAGAAAAACACATGATTTAAAAAAGACGTTTGTACCAGCTTTAGTTAAGATAATAAACTTTTATTCTAGATGTGACATTTCAAGAAATGTACTGACTTGGTTTTGATTCATCTTATTTTGTTGTTTTCATTTGTTTTGTATGTTTTATTGTGTAATACAGTTGATTGCACATGTCATGTGTTGCCAAGAGCAGACTCCTGAAATTCTTAACTTCCATATAATTTATAGGAATCTGAAGTTAGGGTTACGGTGACACGCTGTTCATTTAAAAATCTGGCTCGTTTTTTCTGTACTTCCCCGTTGTGACTGAGACAAGTTGCAGCATGACAGCAAAGCAAGCTTTTTGTTTTTCAAAAAGCAATCACAGACTCAATGAGCAGTCTAGTTTTACTGCATTTTTTCAAAATTCATGCAAAATGCTAACTGATGCATGTCCCAGTTGGCTGATGACACAGAAGATGCGCATACAATATCAAAACAATCCTGAGTACGCAGAGATTAAAAAAATATGTTTTCGTTGTTATCCCATAGTACACCACATACTGTAGGAACACTCAGTAGCAAACTGGCACTACATTCTGTTTCTGTTCCTCTGAACATATCTTTTGTTTGTATTTTTCTAATTGTTTCTCAAAAAAGCATTACTTTGTACCTGACTTACAGGGAGAACTTTTTTGCACTGAGGGAAACCTCTTTTGATGTAGGGCAACTTCATACTACATAATACTGGGTCCTATAAAGGATTCTTATTGTAGAAATATAGCAAGGAGAAAATGTTGGCATTATACAGTGTTCTCAGAAAGTACCGAGACTGCAAGGCAAAACTTATTCTTGGTTTACAATCCAGTAAACTTGTATTTATGATCATGAGATTAATACAGTACGAATGATACATGCCTTATATGTTTGGTTAATCATATATTTGATAATAGTAGTATGAATATAAACTTTGTTTTAAACCCAGTGATTTCAAATGACCGTAAGTATTGGTACTCATTCACATTAAGTATAAAGTCAGTATTTGGTTGTATATTTGGTCTCTTTGAGGCAACAACTGCATGAAGTCTGAGTTTGAGTCCTTACTGCACCTGTTCTGGGGGTGTTCCATTTTTCATTAGCATGTAAAATTTCTTTCTTCACTGTGCAAAGTCCAGACTCAATAGGATTTAAATCTGGAGATTGACTTTGCTTTTCCACTGGAGATTTTCCACTTTTTTTGGCTTCTGATGAATGACTTTGTTGCATTTTTGTATGTGTTGTTCATTGTTGTGCTGCATGGTGAAGCACCACCCAGTATAGAAGCATTTTCTCCTACAACAGCAGATGTAATGTTTCTGTAAACGTCAGAACTCATTGTGTTGCTGTCATCTTTAGTTACATCATTAATCAAGACACTTGCCAGTTCCTGAGGCAACCATGTATGTCTAGGCCATGACGCTAGCTTTCACAGAAGAGGTGGTGCTTTTTGGAGTGTCGGTTAATCTTTTTTTCTGTGTCTTTAAAGAATAAGCTGTGGAACAATCTTTCTTCACTTTAATTGATATTTTCACAAATATTTTTTTAAAATATATGAATGATATGGAGATGTATCAGAATGCCAGTGCTTTTCTGAAGTGAAATAAAAAATGCAAGCAGCTGACTAGTTCAATTCATGAACTCAAGAAAATGTTGAATTGTGCATTCAGAATTGTCTGTCTTCACTCACCCTAGAGCTTTTCATTTTAATAATTGCAAACTTTAAGGAATCTTTAAATGTTTATTTAATTGTAGCTGCAGTAAAAAATGAAAAGTGTTTACCAACTGTATATACAATTAAAGTTTGTAAGTGAAAGGCATTGGACGATTTATAAAAAATGTAATTCACTGTTGCTGTCTTTGTGCTTTACTTGATTCTGGCTAAAAACTCCATTATAACTCTCTGCTAAACACTCTTCAAGATGATGAAGCAAGGTGCAGAACAACGATATAGCAAAATAAGGTGTGATGTAAACATCCCAGGACTGTTTCTGAGGTGCGTTTTTAGAAAGTGCTTGACAGCTGTCAAGTCCTTAGGCTATCTTCTGTCATTTTCACCTGGCTTCTCTCTACCTGGAGTTCGGCAGTTAGCCTTTGGCTAAAACTGTCTCATTGTGAGCGATTATAAAGTATTGTGTGCCTGTCAAGTCCTTTGCCAAAATGTCAGGAATGGATTATGTGTGTTATTTCATAGTGTTGTGCAGAGTGCAAGGAAGGAGTTATGGTGGTGTTTTTTAGCTTCAAAGGAACAAGTAAAGGTTTATTCCATGCTGAAAAGAAAAGAGTCACAACGTTTTGGCTGTGCAGCCTTCTTCGGGTGTTACACCTCTTCACACCTGAAGAAGGCTCCACAGCCGAAACGTTGTGTTTCTTCTCAGCATGGAGTAAACCTTTACTTGTTCCTTTGCAGCCTACGCATGCTGATGCAGCTCCCTGCTTGACCGTTTTTTAGCCTCATGGACAGCATTACTGTTTTTATCAGTACAGCTGTCGTTGCAAAAGTTGCTGCCTTTGAAGAAGACTCAGATCTTATTTCCCTCAAAAGTTCTGAAGCCTCAGAGCTTATGAGTAGATGAGAAAATAACTCGGTGCGGCAGCGGAGCATCGTGCGTCTTGTCTCAAACGCCACAGCGCGACACCTGGCCGCCAGCGCTCCTCGTTGGCATCCGGGTCGTCCGGGCGACCGATCTCCTGCAGACACTGTAGCCTTTCGCCCGCTCCTGTCTCTCCAGGTCGGACCATTTGTATGTGTTCTTCATCCAGTGGAGCCCGGACATGTACGGGGAAGGAGCTGGGGGCCTGAGCCGGGAGCCCGGGTTCATGGTGGTCAAAAAGAACGAGGAGCCCGAATCGGCAGAGGAACCTCTGGCTACTGACGTGACAGCCAAAGAGTGGGAGGTAGGGCTGTGGGACATTCATTACTATCTGTGTCTTTCTGCGTAATTTTGATATTTGGCATAGATACTGTTCGTCTAACTGTGGTTTGTCTTCACACATGTACAATTGTGTGGCAGTCACTAGTCCGTATTCGTCTCCTGGCATGATCCTCTCATGTCATTAAGGTGCGTTTTCTATAGGTCTGTGAAACCTTGGTTTCTTTGCTGAAAGGCTTTGCTTTTCCAATGACTGTACTGTCATTGAGCTATCCAGTTTTGCATGAAGTGTTAAAAAGCATCTTTGACATGCTTTCTATCAGGCTAAACTACATCAGCATCTATGGCAATGTGAGAGCTGATACGTTTTGCATGTCACCGATATGGTTATCTATAAAACAAGTAAACATAAGTGTATTTTATTTGTGTAATATTTTTGTATTGCATGAATGCTTTTGTGTTTGTCAATGTTCATTAAATCTCTTGTTTTAGTGTTTTTTTGTTTCCTAATGCCATAAAGGTGTTTTATCACTTGAAAGGATTCACTAAAACGGTATGTAATCATGGGCCCGTTACTTGTTAAATCTATAATAGGATGGTCAGATGCTATTTAAAGGTAAGGGATTTTGCACAGGTCGCATTTGCAAGAGAGTTCTGACAATGCACTTAACTTTCTAGAAGGTTAATTGAAAACACTTGAATAAAAAACACCCCGGTCTCAAACCTCTGGGTGAGAGATGCATTTGTCCCCAGACACTGTTTTTAATGACCCTGGATTGCAGCGACTGCGATTCTTTAAAGAACATTGTCTTTGTCTAATGGTTGACTATTTAAATTTAGGATGATCTGTGTAGACTTTTACTAGTGTATTGTGATGATTAAATGTTTATTTTAACCTTTCTGTATATCATAACTTTCGGGGGGCAGTTCTCTTAAATACACGCAATCGCAAAGAAACACATTTTTACACCTGCCTGGTTGATGGTTTCTTCATTAACATTATTAATACAGGTAGTCATGCTTTTCCCTGACAGGAAATAATAAAAAGATGTTTAAACTAGAGGTTTCCCTAAGTGATGCCGAGTTCTGTTAGTATACTCAGCCTTCCAATTCTTCTGCAACTCTCGGGGGGGACTGCACAGTGGCATGTATCTACCATGCACTGTTGCTCTTGTTTCTCTTCGATCGGTAGCCTGCCAACATGGAAAAGTCCAGTGTACTGTATATCGATGAATTATTGTTGATCATCAGCTGAAGTGAAATAATGGAATCATTCAGAATAGAAGCAGCAGTATCTCCCTGTGAGTAGTCCAACACTCGTAATTTTGGGGACCGTGTTGCAGATAGATGATTCAGTAGGTGGTGCCGATTGAGCTCTGATATATGCAGAGGCTAGGGCCCTTCAGCTTACAACAAAGTCTTGTGCAACAGTACAGCGGCATGGCTAATGATTAGCTCTATGTGTCTGGTTAGTGCTAGCAGGTTTGTGCTGTACACATTCTCTCTGTTTAGGGTGAACATACAGGTGACTGACAAAATAAAGGAAACACCAACATAACGTGTCATTGTAGGGCAATGGGCCACTATGAGCTGACAGAACAGCTTCAGTGCACCTTCGCGTAGACTCTACAAGTGTCTGGAGCTCTACTGGAGGGATGATACACCACTCTTCAACGGGAAATTGCATCATTCAATGTTTTTAATGGTAGAAACCACAGTTTGGGGCGCCACTCCAGAATCTCCCATAAGTGTTGAACTGGGTTGAGATCTAGTGACTGGTATACCATGGTATAAGGTTTACATCATTTCCCTGCTCATCAAACCATTCAGTGTCCACTCGTGTCACTGGATGACAATGGGGGCACTGTCATCCTGAAAGATTCTACTCCCATCAGGACAGAAATGCTTCATCATTTGATTCACGTGACCATTTAGATTGGCTTTGTATTAATTGGCAGTTACCTTGCCCTCTAAGGGGTTGAGTGGACCTAAACCGTGCCAGGAATATGCACCCCACACCATCACAGAGCCACCAGATCCCTTCACCATCAAAAAAAAGCAGTCAAGCCTGTAGGCTTCTTTTGGCCTGCGCCATATACAGAATGTACTGTACTCATCCCATTGTTGAGAGCAGAGTGAAGGATGACCCATCTGACCATATGACTTTTTTTGCACTGTTTAGTAGACAATTGCCCGTTTTCTCTGCACCACTTTACAAAAGTACATTTTTAACTGTAACAAGGGTTTATGCACTGCAACCCAACTCTCGTTTTTTGTATTGGAATCCAAATAAAATTATACTTTTAGCCAAACTAGTGGTAATTGTGATGCTGGCCCCTATATGCCACAAATCATGCTTATTTCAAGCTGCATTCCAGCTGATGAAACTGCCTGCGCGCACCTTAGATTGACATTTGCAGAGAGACGATTCAGAGTGGCTCGTCTGTTCTGCCCTGTATTCCAAACCAATGCACGGACATCGTGGTCGAGGAGTACTGTGGAATTTAGTCCACAGTTGCCCCTAGCTGACGATGTCTTTTCCCTTCGGCCTCCATGCCAGCATCACCTCAGCCACTGCTCCTTGTGAAACATCAGCCAGCTGAGCAGCTGTTGTCACTGAAGCTGCTGCCACACGTGCCCAACAATCACCCCTCTCTCGCAGTCCTTAGATCTCTTCTTGCAGCCATGGTAGCCAAAATAATGGGCACCTGGCCCTGCCCAGCATTTTTATACATGACCCTAAGCATGATGGGATGATAATTGCTGAATTAACACAGGAACCACACCTGTTTTCAATATGCTTTGGGTCCTTCATTTACTCAAGTGTTTGTTTCTTTTAAGCAGTTACCTGTATGTCACGTGAACATACAGTATGTCAGGCCAGGACAGCCTGTATTTTTCCAACCCTTTTTTTTCCAAGGTGTCATGTTTTCAGCATAGGGAAATACACGCACCCTATCAGTATGGTTCAGTATGGTACGACAGGCATGGTAGTAATTCTAAATTGAAATGCCTATCTCAGTAGACTATTATTTTCCATCTCCTAGCAAGTTACTCTGTTCAGACGTAGTGAAAGTAATGAAACAACCTTATCACTCTGGGAGCACCTTGTAGAAACAGGAATAGGAAATTGCAACAGGAGTCTGTTCAGAGTTTCTACCAATGACAGCCTGAGAGGCAGCCAGAAACTGGACATAAGAGACTCTCTTGAGAGGCAGGGGTATGAAATTGATACATGACACCAAGAAATGGATACTTGAGCTCCGGCTTGAAATTTAAATATTAATGCAGATAAATGATGTAGGAAACAAAGTGGACTGATTTGTTCTCATGGGCTTCACAGACTTTGAAAAGCCACTTGATCTTGTGATTGGAATAAGTAAAACAATATCCTTTCAATGTCTCTCGGTCCTATGAGTAAGCATGACTTTTAAGCAACATTATATTTTAAATTCCTTTTCCTCTTTAAAATAATACAAAAAGCTGAGGTTCCTGAGGCATCATATTAATAATGTTCAGCTGTATGGTATCATACACTCTCAATCCGAGTACTTTCTTGAAACGATACAATTTTTGCCCAGATACCTGTAATAGAGGGACAACGTAGGTACGAAGTGTGATGAAAAGAGTTTTATCTGGAAAGGTCTGAAGAATTACAGTAGTACTTTTTTGTGCTAAGAAGTCTGCGTTTTCTCTAGATGGTGTGTCCCTGGATAATGTTTTTTTTTTAGTTTTACTAGTAGTTAATATACCTAATACACAAAATATCTCATAGCAAAAGCACAAAACAGTGAGCTATTAAAATATCTAGATTTGGGTGCTTTGATGTTAATATTTCTTTCGTTTTCATTCGGTATTACTTCTGTTGGTTTTATTACATAAATTGCAGAATCAAATCAGGACCAACGTAACCGACGTCTGTGCCGAGTTGTGAATATAATAGTAATGGGCGACGTATCTTGACGAGATGTTCTGGTGACGTTAATTGCCTATGTAATAATTGTATTTCTTTTAAGGATGTAATTGGGTTATGTTGTAGACTTTTTCTATTTTGTGCGAATCGTTAAGCGACACCCTGAGATCTTTTAGAGAAAACGGCTTGTAATTGCGTACCCTTACACTGGCATGTGAATAGTTTAAAAAAATATGTCTCTCTCAATTCCGAATGAATCAACATTATTAGATTACAGTTTTTTTTTGTAGAATCGTTTTTGTAATCTGCGCACGCTAGACTGAACCTTTCTGACTTGTTTAACACTGGATACACTAATTGACGTTGGAGAGCTTTTAAACAAAATTAACAGAAAATGACACTTAAACCAATGTGAATTCGGCTTGTTCTGTTTAAAACAGTCATTTTCAATGTTTGTTGTCTCGTAATCTAAACTGCATTTCCTATTACAGTATAAGGTTTAATTATTGTCAGTAGTACATAAGCAATGTGTTGTTGTTGTTGTTGTTGTTGTTGTTGTTTGTAGTTTACGCACACAGTCACGAGCTCAGGCCCCAGAAAACGGCATTTTTAGAATCCAAACAAGAATGTTCTGCGTCTTTAAATCCCGGATTCCCGTCAGAGGAAATCCCGCCTTCATCGATGGGATTCTCCAATAAGAATCGCGATCCTTCAGTCCTCACCTTCCTATTGGCCGTATGCGGTGTCTGTCGTATGTGTGCTGGAAAAGCCGAGAGAAGTGGATAATTTAGGGTAGTCGGTGCTGTTCCTTGTTTTCTGATGCTGGCAGATTCTGAATGGAAGGAAGTCAGGAAGGTGAAATGTAAATGTCACGGATCCGATTGACCCCAAATAAGAAATGTTTTCTTCCAGTGGAATGAAGGACGAAAAGCAGCTGACGGCTAAATACAGCTATGCTTTGGTAATGTTGATTTGCTTGCTTTATTACGGCAGCTACGGTCTAGCGTTGCCTAGTAGTAGTACTAACGTTGAGCGTTAACAGTTCGGAAAAGTTTGTAGCCGGAACTGCAATATTTGTCCTTATTCACAGTTTGTGTGGCACCACTAAAAAG